GAGAACCCGGCGTGCTCCGTCCCGGCTTTGTAGGGATGAGAGGTCAATGGTCTAACGACTACGGCATGCACGACAATGAGTACCCCCCCCCCCCCGTCGGCTTCCCCGTTGGCCGATCTTCTAAGATAGTAACGCAATCGGCGCCGCGCCTGCGATAGCTTATAACGCTAGCCGCTTGCATCTCTATCAGCTGTTCCCGTTCTCACCGGTCGGGCGCGTATATGCCTGCTCTCGTCGACGGGGGCGGCGAAATATAACAACGATGACTGATCCAACAAACTCGAATGAAAAAAACGTCGAAGCGCGAGTTCTGCCGTATGTGTTGAGGGTTCGCCCCTTTGCCTGGTTGGAACAAACATCCTCCAAGCTCTAGTCGAACAGTAGCAGGACTCGATCGGTCTGAATTTCTCGTCGAGTGTTGGGCGTTTGATTTTTGTTTTTGGCAGATTGGTTCTCACGTGCTGCATGCATTCACAGTCCTAGCCCCGTTTTCCTGTCTCCGCGGACGAAGTGGAAGTAGAGCTTGAAGTGCAGCGGGCACCGCCGGTTGCCATCACCGGTCACTGTATCAGTAGAGGTCCAGGGGGTTCCATCGCCAGCCCGCTTGGGAATCTAAAGCAAACATCCAGCAGTATGGTAATTTTGTGCACAGGTATTGGGTGGGCAGTAGAGTACGTCAAGTAGGTGCCGACAATGAGTGCACTGTGACTATAAAAAGCTTGCCGCGCTCCGCGCGCAAGCTCGCTCCCGTGATTCCCTTTATGTGCCACCAGATTACGCGTTACTGGCTACATGGGAGCGTTGGTCCGACCTTCCTGTCGGCGGAGATGGAAGGGGCGCATGTTTACGTGCGGCCGAAGGAGGAGGGCTGGCAGCTGGGGGTGGTGCATCAGCTTTCGAGGGCGCGGGAGGAGGACCTCCCGTGCAACGTCCATTTCGTCGACNGAGTACGTCAAGTAGGTGCCGACAATGAGTGCACTGTGACTATAAAAAGCTTGCCGCGCTCCGCGCGCAAGCTCGCTCCCGTGATTCCCTTTATGTGCCACCAGATTACGCGTTACTGGCTACATGGGAGCGTTGGTCCGACCTTCCTGTCGGCGGAGATGGAAGGGGCGCATGTTTACGTGCGGCCGAAGGAGGAGGGCTGGCAGCTGGGGGTGGTGCATCAGCTTTCGAGGGCGCGGGAGGAGGACCTCCCGTGCAACGTCCATTTCGTCGACCTCGAGCGGCGTTTCAACGTGTCGCCGTCGCCGGAGAAATATTGTATGGCGGTGGATGGTCCGCCTGGCCCATGGTGCTTTCTGATGCACATGCGGTCCGGGAGCGTCCGGCGGAACGGGACCTGAGGGGTGCGCTGTGGTGGTGGTTTCGTCGTGGTGGTAGGGGTGCGCTGTGGCGGAGATTTCGTCGTGGTGGACGAGGAGTGCTGTGAAGGAGGTTTTGTCGTGGTGGACGGGGAGCGCTGCGGTGGAGAATTTCGTGGCCGAAGAGGCAGGCACGTCGGCGCCTTGCGGGATTTTCGTGGTGGTGGGGGGAGCGAGACGGCACACCTCGAGGGTTTTTCAAGGTGGAAGGGGAGAGCGAGACGGCGCTTCGTACGACTGACTACGACCTCGTCAGCGCTCGGAGCACCTTCAAACGACCCTGTCGGAGCTTTCCGTAACTTCAACCGACCTCGCTGGCGCCCTTCGATTTCTTTTTGTTTGTGGATGTTGTGTGTGTGTGTGTTCCGGATTTTTTGTCTTTGGTGTGCCTTCTGATGCCGATGATATATATTTCCGGTGTGGTGTGTCGGTTGTTGTTTGGCTCTGGGGTCTTGGTAGCGACGTGCCGTCCTTTTTCGGGAGGATGAGGGGGAGAGGCACAGGCCATTCAAAATTAGCCTGTGTTCGGTAGAAACTTGGGGAGTTTTTGCTGAAAATTTGGTTGGCTACCCCCCGCCTTGAGGAAGTTCGGTTCATTTTTTTTGGTTTTTTGTTGGTGCCGTGGTCATTGCGGGTGCGAAGTCCGGGAGTGTTTGAGTCCTCAAAGGGAATGTCGTCGTGCTATACTTCTAGGATAGGGGGTTAATGTTCGTTGTGGTTCCACCAATTTCGGGCAGGAAGTTTTCGAAGCTCGTTTGCAAAGCGATGGTATCGTTCTCATGGTGGTCATTCTTCGGTGAAATTTGGAGTTCCAGGGTAGGCAATACAGCAAGGTTCGTTGGCTTTTCTTTTTCCCCGAAGACCGCCAAAGGTCTGCTCTCCTGCAATATATATTCCGCAAGGGAGCTGAAGCTGAAAGTGTGCTGTGTCTATGTCAAAGTGCTGTTTTCCGTGTCAAGTGCTATGTCTATGTTTGTCCTTGTCAATGTGCTGTGTATATGTTAAAAATCAGCTTCAGCCTTGCGTTGGGAGAGTGGGCGTTTATCAGACACGCGTGGGGAGAAAATTGGTCAAAGGATCGTTGATGTATGTGTCTCGGGTGGATTTCATAGCTTCATAGAGCTGGGTTGTGAGTCACAAAACAACGTGAAGCGATTGCTTTAGTTGTTGGGAGTCCTTTTGGGGGTCGGCGTGCACCGTCAGATAGCGCCGATTTCAACTGTCAAATGTCCGATTGAGGGGGGTCACAGCGGTTCGTTGCCGCCTTTCTCATGGGTGAGTACGACGTCACATGCTTTCGTTCAGTAACATTCGTAGTGACCAGGTATTGGCGAGTCAGGTAAAGGTCGTTCGGCCGGGATTTTTGGGGTTGGTGCCGGTTGTCGTTTCCAAAAACACGGCAGCGCGGCACGAGGTAAAATAGATTCTTGCCGGCAGACGGTAGGATGAAGAATTCCCTTGGAATTCGTGTATGGTGGCTTGTGTGGGGGTACTTAGGCCCGAGGGGATGAAATGCTGAGGGCTTGTGTCGTGAGTGTAAACGAGTTCCCGCTTATAGAGTGAATTCCGTGGGGTTTTGAATATTGCTGTCTTGCCACGGCGGTCGAGACGGATAAATGTTCATGTTTGGAATTTTGTTGAAGGTTTTCAGCTGATGCGATCGAGACTGTGCCAGTTTCAGTATAGAAATGGTACTGGACGCCGGTTTCTCTTGATGAATTCATGTTTTTGGATTGCTCTTTGGAGATATCAGAATATTTTTCAATATGCCAAAGAGCAGTGTGGGGGAATTTCAATGTGGTACGAAGTAGGCTCGTTTCAGGGGCTGTTTGGACCTTGTCCCCGTTATATGGTGTGTTGGCGTTAAGATGCGGCGTAGTTAGCTATTCTCCGTGATGTGTGTGTGTGTTTGCATGAATATGGCTCCTGGTTCAACCCCATGAGTTCAGAGAATAGAGAGCTAACTGGGCAAGGGCAAAGGTCAAGTGGGCATGCGTTGAGTACCAGTTCGGTTGCAGAGATCTAGGCAGAGGTTGAGTTCAGTATGTTTGCGTGGATAGGTTGAACAACAACAGCAGTGTTGGTATGCAGCTGTGTTGAGTGCAGCAGCCGCCGAGAGAACGAATCAACAACAAGTTCCCTCAACAGCTATCTGTCCATTCCCTTCCTCGACGACATCTGCAAAGACAATCAAGCAATCAAGCATACCTAAGAGAAAAGAACCTCGAACCTAGCGCAGAACCTTGGTAATGCAGAGCCGCACTGCTCTGCATTTGATTGGGTAATTGGGTCGCCCGAATACATACCAAGTACCACACACAAGAGTTCCAGAGAAAATTCCGTGGAAAATTCGTTTCCAAATTCGCCCGTGGTGACCCGGCGGAATTGATACTCCGCCTAGAAACGGTTGACGACCCTCAAGCCAGCTATCAACTGCTGCCTTTATCTGGTGGGCCACGTTTGTTTCATTTGCTGAGGACGATTGCACCGTCTACCACCTGTTCGTAATGGTTGCTGCTTTGCGTCGACAGAGTAACGCTGAACGCTGATAGGACAGTTCAAATGACGGGAATGTCGTTTTGGACGAATGTTCCTGGAATGTTCTTCTTGAATGGTGCATTGACCCGAGCGTGTTGTCGGTATGTCGGACAGCATCTTGGACCGAGTTCCGTGTTTTGTGCTTTGGTCGAGCGACATGGCTGGTGCTGGGGTGCTCGCGCACTCAGCCCACCCCAGTCTGCTACCCTGTCTCTCTAGCCAAGGTCCCAACAATACAGCATATTTTCCCCAGAAGCCACCGAGTTTCCAACACGCTATTTTCAAGGAGTGATGCCGTGGGCGGTGCCTTGCTCCTAGAGATAGATGAAGGTTCTGTCGTTGACACGCTTGTCCGCGACCACGTTGACATGGGAAAGTTGCTTGTTATTGCTGAGAGACGATCAGCAAAGGTCTGGGATGAAGTGGCGATCCAACTTCATCTCAGGGGGTACACAGAGTAGATAATTCAAAGAGGGTAGGGGTCGGAAGGGTATACCTCCTGACCGACCCGCATCCTATCAAGAATACGATGTACCCTATTCATGCTAGCAGCCACACTCCTTAGCACTATACAGTGCCGGCCGGCACTTTAGAACCTCCTATATTGGGCGAGGCTCAGTTCTTATTGGCTGCCCCAACCCNTAATTCAAAGAGGGTAGGGGTCGGAAGGGTATACCTCCTGACCGACCCGCATCCTATCAAGAATACGATGTACCCTATTCATGCTAGCAGCCACACTCCTTAGCACTATACAGTGCCGGCCGGCACTTTAGAACCTCCTATATTGGGCGAGGCTCAGTTCTTATTGGCTGCCCCAACCCGAGCACCAGTTCTTATTTGCCAAGTTCATATTTCGTCGTCCATTCTTGTCCAGAAAGAGGTGTTCTTGTTCTTACAGTATTTTTACATTATTTGCTATGTCGGCCGTCAACCATGAGCAACACTAGTACTGCTGTCGATACAAGAAAATACCAAGGCATGGAGCAGCAACTGTCAACCTTCTTGGTCCACAAGGGTGACGTTGGTACTGCGTACCCTTCCTGATCTACTAATGCTCTCAAGCGAAACCGCAAGGGGGACCACTGAAAATGAAACGTGTCCCTTGCAAGTAGAGCGACAAATTTACGTGTCCCATGCTTCCAGTTGACAACGGCAAATACCGGAAATGCCAAAATGCCGCCAGAATTCCACTGAACCCGAATTCTACCCTTCAAAGAGTCAGCCGAGTATGCACATGAAGGAGCGCACACGCAGCCATTCGTCTGAGCTACTCCCCCACCTCTCCCGGTTTTCGGAGCTAGCCGGTAATTCGAATCCAGCCGTTGTGCGATACGTACTCATCTCCGTTAGGATTTGAGGAGGACGGAGTCTAAAGCTAGCTGTGGAGAAGCACTGCGCCTGTTCGCTCCTTCCTACTGCTGCTTGAGACTGACTTGGGCCCTCCAAAACTCCGACAGGTACGAACAAACTCCTTTGTGTGTGGTCGAAGATGGACTGCGTCTTTGTACAAGCCCAACATGCCACCATGCACAACATACTGCTGCTGCCATTCACCTGTCGCTGCCCTTCCACGTCTGTCTACCTGTCCATGACACATGCTGCCACTTGATGCGACAATATCTGGAAACAATACGGACACAGGGAGTACTCCCCCTACCCATACACACACCGTCAAAATTGAGCAACCTCTCATTCCTCCCTTTCCACATGCAACTGATGTAGATGCATGAAATGATACACTCTGTCTTTACGTATGGTCCGCGCTGTCTACAATGGGAAAGGTAGCCATACTTTCTGCAGACACACGGGCGAGAGAGGTGACCATACCCACTGCATTTAGCACACACCCCCATGTCGGTATTGAAACCTCAACCACACGCCTCTCGAGTCTATTGGCGGCCACGTCAGGAGGCAATGATGCGATAATGTTCTCCCATGCCCTTCGCACATTTAAGGACGTGCAATTACACAACACCGTCCCGCACATGCTCCCATACATACGCACAAAAAATATGATGATGACGAAAATATACACACCCCGAGACGCGCTTGCTCCGCAACCACATNGCACACACCCCCATGTCGGTATTGAAACCTCAACCACACGCCTCTCGAGTCTATTGGCGGCCACGTCAGGAGGCAATGATGCGATAATGTTCTCCCATGCCCTTCGCACATTTAAGGACGTGCAATTACACAACACCGTCCCGCACATGCTCCCATACATACGCACAAAAAATATGATGATGACGAAAATATACACACCCCGAGACGCGCTTGCTCCGCAACCACATAAGGGTGCCATATTAGAACACCCGACCAACCGAGTTCCCCTAAATCTTCCGCCTACAACTTCCCAACATAGCATGCAGATAGATACACAAGATGGCTACCAAACTGCCTTGTTGAGCTTGTTACCCACAGGGGAGATATCGCTGTATGCTGTCTGGGAAACCGTAGACATACAGGTAGCTTTCGCTCACGCTATGGATTCATTGCTAATCTATCTGAGACTTATTTCTATAGATAGACATGGATTTATTTGTTGTGTGATAAGAAAAAAAAAAAACAGGAGCCTACAGCCGCATCCGAATCTCCGCTGTACTTGTCTAAGGGCAACTTCATCTTGCGCGTACTCTGGTCTAGCTCCAGCTGCACACAGTAGTCGTACAGGTGGCGAGTCTCCTTCTGAGATTGTTGAGCGATCAGCCCTCCAAACCACCCCATGCCCAGCCTAACGAGCACTCCACGCCGCAAAAGCAATCTGTCAAGAGCAACGGATTTAGCTTCTTGAATACGAAAGCCTGCCGGGATCTCCATTCCCTGTATCTCATCCACCGGGTCTTGTTGGTCCATGCTGTCGTCATCGCCGTCCAGAAGAGCTAGCTCGTCGGTCTGGGGTTGAGAGATGTCTGCGAACGAGGCAGCGGGAAACACAAGAAGTTAGGGTGTCACGTCGTCAAACTCAACCTGAACTTATCATAATTTGAGTGTAGCCGTGCGCGGAAACAAGCTAACGTCAACATGAAGGACATCGTCATCAACAAAAAGAAGACTAAGAGTTGGTTCTGTGCAAAACAAACTTACCGCCGTCGTCTTCATCGCTGGAGTCAACGCCCTCCATGAGCGTCTCACGTCCTCCATCGCCCTCCTCCGCCCGCCCCTCAGGCGCATCGTTGCCGTTCTCCGGACCTTGTTCGTCGTCGCTACTGTCTTCATCGTTAGCGAAGGTATACGGCTTGTCCAAACCCTCCAAGGTGATTCGATCATCGCCCGAGCCATCCACGGTCATGGCCATCCCGCACTTTTCGAAAAGACGGTATCGGTACGCCTGTTGGCTGTTGAGTCTTGCCATGGCCGCTCCCATCCACTGAGTGATCAGGACGCGCCGATCAGAAGCCGTCAGCGACGCGGTTTCCCACCTCTCGAGGTTGTCCGACTGCTCGAGCCATATGTCCATCTGCCTCCCGACTTGCACCTTGAAATCGTCCGGCTCCTGCATCAACTGGCTGCACCTCGTTCGTGTACTCCGAAGGGCCATACCAGGCGAGAGTATTGCAGTGCTTCGCAAGATACTCCTTGAACTCGTCTGTGGTCTGCGCGTGCAAGTTGTCCATGATAAGAATGGACCTCGCCTTGGGGAGCTCACCCCGCCCGCGCATCACGCTTTTCTCGGGGGCACCCAAGGGCACGACGCGTGCGTACAATGTCCACCCTCCCCCTCTAAAAAAGTACAAAAGTTGATATGTGGGGTATGTACCCCTCCCAAATCCAATACTCTGTACTCTGGGATCACTCCCCCCTCTTCCCTCCCTCCCCCTGCGAGTATTCTTATCTGGAAGCCGCTGCATTGCTGTCGTTCTTATTTGTAGCAGCAGTTTTGCACCTCAGGTGTGTGTTCTTGTTCCTAACAGGGCGTGCAGCTGAGCACGTGTTCTTATCGGTAACTTCTCAAGTTTTGGATTTTTTGAGCATCAAATTCTTATGTGCCATATTCTTATGTGCGGGCCGGCACTGTAGCGCCAGTCACCAGTCGACAACTGCTGTTCGTGGGTCTGCGAACATTGTTGTTGGATACATGTGCTGGATGATTTTATGTCGCGCAGACTGGTAAGATAATCGTTTGATAGGGGGCACCGCGATGATTCACGGGGCCCCTCGTTGCTGTGGAAGCCGCTCTTGAGCACTCCCTCTTTCGTCCGTGTGAAGGACGGTCGTCGACCTCTCGTGAAGTTAATACATCAAAAAAACAGTCTCACCCAATGAATAAGTGGCGTAGGCCGCAAACACTCTAGAGTTTTGCCCCTCGAGGGAAGCC